TGTTTAGTAAGTGCGGTTCTAATGAGGCTATTATTCAACACCGTGTGGTACACATTTTAACTATGTACATATATATATGCGTGTGTGTGTGTGTAACATAAACTAACATACGAAAGTTATGACGATTAAATAAATAAATAAATTTGAGAATATCATTTGCATATAAAAACGTCATTGCAATATTATAATAATGGATCTATAATATTGAATAGATATTATAAAATATTATACCTGTGATATTACTTTTACTGTACATTTTGTTCCGTCCATTAACGAAATGGCTAGTGTATACTACATTATAAACGCATTTATCGTTATTTTTATTTATTGGTTTGTCAATATTTTACTGTAATAAATAGAGTTTAATATACGGTGCCAAATCGTGAGGTCGTAAAACACAGGATTGGTTTTTCGGTTTCTGTAAAAATAAATTAACATTTCGTTTGTACATATATGCTTGCTTGGCTGCAATAATATGGTCAAATAAACTAAACGTGGGGAATATTACAATATATATATATATATATATATAATTGTTAAAAAATGGAAGTCTATTGTCAATTTCAAAATTGCGATGGCCGACGGGCTTATGACCGAAGCTGCAATGTTTACTTTCTCTTTGCTCAAATAACGCAGAACTTGCAGTGTGTTTACATCGACATATACAACAGTGGTCAGAAGTAAAGGAAACATAATTCGGTAAAACGGCCTTTGTCTAATCGAATTCGGGTGCACCGTGGCCGTCGCGCGGTTGATGACCTATTTTATGACGGTCACGGATTAGCATCTATAGTGCATGCAGTTGTTTCGGGTTGGAAGACAGAAGAGAAAGAAAGAGAGAAAGATATACGTAGGGAGAGAAAGATATAAGAAGAGAGACACACACACACACACACACAAACACACAATATTGAACTTGTAAATGTTTTTTTTTTTCATTTTCTTTTATGAACGGCGGTCGTAAACGAGATTCAAATGAATCGGCATATTATTATTGGGTCGGCAACGACGCGGGGGTGTGCGTTGTTTATTTAAGAGACCCGCGTATGATATACAATAATATATAGGGCGTTGACACCCACTACCGCCATCCGAAGAAGTGATATTATATAGAACCTGTATAATAATAATAATAATAATAATGTATAATATTATATAGGTACACTTCGATTTTATAGTAACTGCCTTGAGGGATATTTACTATTATCCGTATCTCATTGTTGCGGTATTCGATATGCAGATTGTAATTATTATTTATTTGATATATTTGAGTATATAATATTATATGTATTTAAGTACCGTAAGGATTGGGAAGGACACCTTCATCGTTGTCGATGGTCTTAGCTTTCCACCGGAAAACTATATATTAAAAACGACGGACGCGTATTTAGTTAGATATGTATCGCTGCAATGACGACGAAAGTTTGTTTTTGTCCATCACTATTAATTCTCGTCTGTGTATACGCCTTGACGCGAGTTTTCCACGCGTCTCTATTTATCTGTACACAACATACCTACTTGTGGATCAAAGTCAAGAATACACTCGCTGCAATGATGACCCAAGTCCTTTTGCACAAACTATGTCTGATTTTACCCTTGATGGCGACGTCCTCAAAGGGACATTATAATAATACGCTGTAGGTACATTCGGGATGGGCTCCAGGCGAGTCTATAGAAAACATCCCGGATCAATAAATATTATGTGGAAAAAGCAAATAAATAGTAAATAAAAATAATCGTAAGTAAATCGGTATAATCATAGGCGTAATCTGGGGTAAAATCTTGGGGGGGCAGTTTATGGTCCAACTAAAATTATTTAAGGTAGGTTGGAAGATGGTGGCTTTTCTTCTCCCAATAAATAAATAAATAAATAAATCAGTAAGTATTATATTTATTAGGTACTAGTTAGTAATAGACAACGTTAAAATATTATAAATGAATAAACAACAAATAGTCAACAATATAATTTAGTAATTTTATTTCAATACAAGCCGTCGACCACGAATTGGTGCACCTTCGTCAAATTCATTTATTACTTGATCAAAATCAACTTCTCTATCTCTTTCAATGTAGAGAGTAGCGATACTACTCAGTCTTGTTTGGCCCATAGTAAGCCGTAGATATGTTTTTAGTTTCTTCAACGAAGAGAATATAAGAACAATATACCTATATAATTAATTGTTTTTAATTTGTATTAACTTACTTTATTAACTTGATTTATTTGATCAATGATTAATGAATAATTATAATTAATTAACACATAAATCATAGACAACAATATTAACACAATACACAAACATAGAGTTTTTGGGACTAACTAATAAACAAAAACATCAAATTATCTGAGATTATTAGTATTATTTTTAACTGTACCATAAAATTCATAAATATTTAAATGTTAAAATAATACACTTTTGAATAACATAAATTAATATCAAATATTACCAAGGTACCTTCTAAAATATTGTTAATTCCTTGAGAATTTGATACTTCTGTCAATGTATTTTTCTGACTTGTATGATCTAAAAACAAGATAATATAATATTAGGCATAATATTATTTAATTTATAATTTATATAATTTAATTATATTGAATACCTTCTAAAATATTATTTATTTCTTGAGAAACTGATTTAGTGGCTATTGGTAAACTTGTTTGATTGGTCTGATCTAAAAAAAATGTTTATAACACAAATAAAAAATGATAAAGTAATAATAAATTGACATTTTGACTTACCATTATTACCTGATACTTTTATAAAAAAGTCACCAATGTTTTTTCTTTTCATATTTGTAAAAATTAAAAATACAATAACAAATATTAAATAACAATTGTATACTTATTTCAATATTTGTATATCAATTATCAAATCAAACAACTAATTCGACAACATCAGAACAATTCTTCCAAAATCGTAAATAAGACAATATAATGATAAGCACTGTCTGAAAAATGATAAGAGTGTTTTACGGCGGTTACCACTCTTACTCTGTGGCAATGCGGCATAGACCTGAAGTTAGGTCTTTGCAATGCGGGCATAAGTAATTTACAATTTTTTTTCTTACATTGGCGTCACTGCTGGATTACTAGTATGGTTTAAACATCCTTATCATTTTTAACTATTTTGGAAAATTTGGCCCCAAATACAAATTTAAATTAAACTAATGACAGGGGGGCAAAAAGACACTATTGACCCCTCAATGAAATATCTGGGGGGGCAGTTGCCCACCCTTGCCCCCCCCAGATTACGCCTATGGCGTATAATTATGTGTATGTCACGGTAAATTACGTTATGGATCAAAATAATATTATTTTCCAGTAAATATCATAATAACTAATAGATGTATTTACAGTAAACCAGCGACATTTTCGTTATTATAATCATTAAACGTCAATCACTATGGTCAATTTCAAAAATAAGTAAAACCGTGCAGGTCAGTGAGTTTAATGAGAAACTGGGGCGTGCTACGTACTTTTTTGTAACTAGTAAACAATACATAATATTTCTGTTATAGTCTTTAGTCAAGATATACTACGACGAACGAAGTTATTAGAATCGTCATATACCTTCTTTGAATTAATTTTAGGGTGGGTAGTCGTAATATTCTGTTTCTATTTTCTTTAATCGTTTTAATAAAATGCAATATGAATGTACTCAAAATGAAAAACAAACTTAATAACATTAGGTACATCTGATATAATTAATAAAAAAATAACTTATTTGTAACCATCGATCAGAGCTTTAACAGTTAACGAGTGAGTATGCGGAAGACCATTTACCGGAAAATACTATTTCGAACAAGTGTCTGGTTTATTAGTTATAACTTTGTAAGCATTTAAGGTTTAGATGGGGGGAGTAGTGGATCAACCTTTTGTGGGGTACCCCTGTACCACTCCACTCCGTTTACCTAAGCTCTAAATACTTATAAGTTGCGATTCATACACTATATATTATCTGTCCAAAATTTAATATTTTTATGCGTAAAATAAAACATATTTTTAGAAAAATATTGTTCTTGACGTCCCAAAATTACGTAAAAAATATTGTCAGTGACTTAAAAAGATCTAATAAATCTAATAATTTATCTTACGTTTAATAAATACGTTTAATATATATATATATGTTCTTACACTATTCTCTGTCCAACGACAGAACTCGCCGATTCTGCGCATAATTCCCGCGTCACTCTGCTACTTAAACAAGTTCTCATATTATGGCAGGATGTCGAGTGGAAATCCGCAGAAAACCCTATTTCGGGCGGCCCGCAACGCGTTCTCTCGCTGGACTGAGTATAGTATTATAGTGCTGAAGAATTAACCCCTTTTTTTGTGTCATAATCTCAAAAACTACTGGACCGTTTTTAATAAAAGCTACAGCAACAGTTTCCTTTGGATTCGGAGGATGTTTTAAACTTATTCTTTGAACCACTATAGGCAGCACGCAGCCACACATGAATTTCCTGGAGTGTTTCAAGTTTGCACACTGGAAAAAGCTCGATCGATTTTGACGAAAGTTTCAGATATTTGTTCTTAAAGACATCGGGATACTTTAGAGAGTATGGTTTGAACCGCTTTTGAAATGGTACCAAGTGTTATATTATCTAATCCGCCTCATATGCAGATTGCCAATCTTTGTCAAATTTGTTCAAAAAGCGAGGTTCCCCGATGCCGATTTAGTTTCACTTATTACGATGATGGTTCATTTTTTTTCGAATGAAGTCTGGATACACTGCATCTAGTATATAATTACATTACTAGCTGAATTACCCGGCTTTGCCCGAGTGTATTTTTTGTTTTATCAAAATTAAATTCTTAAATCAACGCAAATTGTTGTGTTTTAAAGAATTATAAATACAACAAAAATAATAATAATAGTAGTTACAAATGATACTAATGATTCTATACACATATTGTTATTAAAAAATGTGTCTATAATTATATATAACTTTTTTTTATGAATATTTACAAATGATACGTAGTTGCTTAATTTTAATATGGCTTAAGTCAAAACCTCTTGGCATACCACATTTAGAGTTTTATTTTGTGGCGCATAAACGTACAAATGGTCAGGTCTTCCAACTCTAGAAAATGCCACATACGATTGTCCGTGTGAGAAACAGTTGTCTAAGAGTAAATCTACACCACAATAAGTTAAAGTCTGACCTTGAGCTTTGTTTATCGTCATTGCAAAACAGACTTTTATTGGAAACTGAACTCTTCTAAACTCAACTGGAAAATCGTTGGGGTATAATGGTATTTTCGATAAAAATATTTTTTCTCCCTCAGCACATCCGGTCAAAATTTCAGCTTCGATCGCATTTTTTGTAAGAGAGGTGACACTGAATTGGTACATAAAAAAGGCCTGTTCTTATATATATATATATAAATAAAAGGAAAAGGATATATATATATATATATATATGTAAGTTGCATCTAGTATTCTCATGTATGCTGCAGATAGTATGTATATGTATATGCTGTCGCCGTGACCTCGTTTGGCGATCGCGTAATGCACCTCATCCGCTGCAGCGGACGCTCAGCGATCTATTGATCCCCCTAGGGGCCGTGCCCAATAGTTCACCGTGCGCTTAAAACCCGTTTCTTCGCTTACCTATACATATATATATATATATATATATATACACGTACCTATATACTGTACTATACACTTACCTATATACATACGATTCGCCATCGCCGATCGACTGCGACTGCACGCACTCAAACAGTCAGCTGTGAGTGTGTGTGTGTGTGTGTGTGTGTGTGTGTGTGTGTGTGTGTGTGTGCGCGCGCGCGTGTGTGGAATGCGGAATCTCGTTGAGCACGTAATATATATTTTCGGCACCCAATTTGACTCGGCTCGATTAATTACCGGGCGGCGAGGAGGCATACAATATGTACCTATACATAATATATTATAATATAATATATATATATACGCTCGCGCGTGCGCGTTTCGGGCCGGAACCAGTTTCTCGGTGCCGGCAAACCGACAAATTTATCTCGGAGCGAAAAACAGAACGTCTCCCCTCCCCTCATCCCACCCGTCCATCTATAGTCTCCCACCGCAGGAACAACGCACTCGGGTAACAACGACCTGCAGAATTATTAAAAAAAAAAAACGTACTAATTTTCCAAGTATTTATTATAATAATATGTAATATCAGCTGAACAACTCTGCTTCGTCCGTGTGGCAGTATTTTTTGTGTTACCTATTACTACTATACTTTTTCAGTTTTTATATCACATAGTATGCAAAGGAGATTGCCTTTAGATCTTACCATTATAACTACTATAATTATAATTGTTATTATTTATTTGATCGCATCTTGATATATGAAAAATAGTTGTTTCTGGGTGCTGTTCCGAAAAGTTATAAGGAACGCCGTCGAATTTTTAGACATCTGCCCAATGAGTAACCAATGGCAACCATTTATAAACAAACAACATATTTTAATTTCTATCATGAATCTCAAAATTCTTGTTTGAGGACCTCTTTAAAATGCGAATTTCGAAAAATCCTATCTTATCGAGTCTTCACATTTTAAAAAGAAACTATACCGACCAAATTCCATGTACGCATAGAGCTTCAGTGGTTCCGACTAGGCGATGATGAATCAGACAGTCGGAACAAGTTATTTTATATCGATAACAATATTATTATGTATAGTATTATATTCCATAGTAATAATAATAATAATAATAGTAATTGTAGACGATAAAATAGATTATTTTATTATTATACGCGTCGCCGGTTGTTTTCGAGAGAACACAAGTCACCGCACCGCTGAGGCCGCATTCCACGGGTGCAGGGCTCGCGGTCAACTTTTCATTATTTTATTATTATTATTATTATTATTATTATTATTACTATTTTTATTATTATTATCGTATTTGTACAGAAGGAACAAAAGTTATATTTTTTAAGCGTCAACACACGCGCGCCCGCGTTTTTTTAATCGCCATTTAATTCCTTTAGTGTACATAATATTATTATAATAATAATATACACCCGCAGAGCACCCGTATACGACATAATCTGAAACATAATCCGGTAGTCGAGTGGTATCGGAATCGGTATTTTATTATTATTTTTTTTTTTTTGTAATATTCTCGTATATGTTTTGTCATGCTGTTGCTTCACAAAAGGATTATATATAAGAACGTATAGAAATAGTGGCACGGCCAGTTCGGCTGACAGCCCAGAACGGGTTTTTTTTTTGTTTTTTTTTTAACGCCGCGACTGCGTCGGCGTATCCGCGAAACCTTCACCCCACTGCGGTACATGCGGTAGATATAATATACCCATACAATATTATCGTTGTGCATTGATATTGAAAAAAAAAACACATTTTTCCGATTTGAGCTACTATTGTACGCCTGTGAACAATAAATTATTCGATTAATAATAAACCCATCAGTGTTAATATTTAATTTGATCGTCCGAATACACGAATAGCCACGCATCACCTGCAGCCGGTGTAATTGAATCCGAAGAGTTACGACGTCACTCCATTTAATGAAATGTTAAATCAATGTTTGTTTTGGTATTTTATACATAGCGCAGCAGTGTTTAGTCAAGGTAAAAAATAATATGGTTAAAAAAATATACGATTTCGTCGTGTCTCGCCGCGGCGTGCACATGTTGAAGTTTTATGACGTAAAATATGACACATGTAATACATTTTAGGTAGGTACGAGGTGTTTTTAATTATACGCCATATAAGCTGTATAACAATTATCAAGCATACAAATGGTAATCAGTTCAACTAATTAAATATTTTAATTTGACATTCAACAGTAATTAAATTTAGGTATTAGCTGATATATTATATTTAATTGCTGATTTTGATTTTATATGGTCCAAAACACCGCTATTTTACTAAGTATTCTAACTTGTACAGTCAGGAATCTCGAGTAAAATTTTGGGGCCCTTTACTTATTGTTTTTCTAGGCACTTTACAAAAAATCACGTAAGCCATGGTTGACTTACAACTTTTTATTTTTTTTATTCAGCTATATCATTATAAAACTATTACAATTTCACAGATTTCAATAACAAATAAAATTACTTAATAAAATATTATGATATACATACTTTATATTATTTAAAATAAAATAAGAATTTGTATCAACGTTTGAAAAATTACAGATTCATTCTGACGAGTCCCTAAAAATAGCCGGTCTCTTGTACTCCAGGTCCCACAAGAGAGAGAGAAGCGCTCTGTGCAGCTGTACTTGTATAAAATAATTACTCATACTTATACGTGTATTAGGCAGATATCAGTTAAACCATGTTATTAACAATTAATGATACTCTAAAATGTAATTTTTTATATTAAGCATGCAGTTTGGCGAAAATAGTAAATTAAACAACACTCAATACAACATGAATTATTGATTGATGATGCGAATAATATATGCGAGGATAAATATTTCTAAACAATTTTTAAAGGATAGGTAATTCAAACACGATATAGCAGATATTAAAAATACATACCTGTTGTATTTAAAAATAGATTTAAATAAAAAAACAATATTGAACAACAATGTCCAATATACAGAGCAATAAAAACATTTTTGTCTCCCTCGAGTACCTACCTACCTAAATACGTATATTTTGAAAGTTACACGCAAAAATATATCCAACGAAATGTACAGACAAAACATTAAACGAACGTCTTGGCGACACTCCAAATACTGCAGATTCCCCAATGCGGACGGAATACAGTGTAATAAGCAGGCATTGAATTACGATTGTATAAAGGTTTCCCTCGGTTTGAGACGTTGATTATTTATTTGTTTAAGTGTTGGTATTGAAGGTAATATATATAAGCCCAGTGAGTATTCAAATGTACCGAACTTCACTGAGAATTCGATTATCTCATCGATTATCACGCATAATTTATCTAATTTTCATACGAATGAAAAATCCCGAATATATTATATTATGCGCGTTCGTGTGCATATAATATTATAATATTATATTGCACGCATATACGGTGTGCAAGTCGTATTGTCACATATAGTATAGGTACCCATATAAGACAACGCTTTTAATTCCCCTGTTACGTGTGCGATGGACTTCAGAAGTCGCAATAACAACCGGAAATTTAACATAGGTATATGTGCATTAAATAATAATATTATACTATACACATAGGTTATAGGAGGTGGGGTGGGGTTCAGATAATAATAAATGTTATTCTAATCGATGGTTTTTGTTTGTTGCGATCCAGCAATAACGCAATGCGAACTGAATCGTGTATACCATTATGTAGATGACGACTCAAGTCTACTTAAATACAAAATAAATTTAAACCCCCGTAATAACAAAAACGACAAAGAACAATATTTACTTTAAAAGTATTTTGAATGCTTTAGTTCATTGTTCTGAGACATTTTTAATCGATATCTGGTCGACTACAACCCGACAAACGGTCAATATATGTTTTATGTTATATCGTTACGATTTCATTTAAATAATTGCATAAGTAATTTATTCGTCAGTAATATTTAATCTAGGACACCACGGCGTACAGGTATAATAATGCATAATATACTGATACCTAAAAGGTATATTACATCATACTCGTGTAGTTGTGTACATATTTTATATACTATTATATGCATTCATCATGCATAGGAAATTATGAATTTGATTAAAAATATGATATGTTATTGTAATATTTGCAAGCAATATATCACGAAATATCGTTTGAAATCAACTTATTCGTCGGAGACATTGTGCATTTGTATTTGCTTGCGCGTGTGCGTGAGCGCGCACGCACGTCTGTTCGCGTTTACACAAAAATAATTTACGTTCTTCTTAGATTTATTTATCGTTTTATTTGCGCGATTTTCTTTGTGGTCTCGCGGATATGCGAGAGCATACTGTTCGGGATATTCACACCGGCATTCGATATCGGTAGTCGAAACGAGCCAATTTTAGTCCGTTGTCGTTTCGAAATTCGAAAAATGCAGACGTAGTCGTTATGTAGGAGCGTCGGCTTCACCGGGCGAGGACGACGCAAAATAAATAAATAATAATAATAAGAAAAAAACCAAAGGTTATCGGGCGCGCATATGCGAACAGACGGGGCAATATCGGTTTACCGGGCGCGTGAATTATATCCATTATAATTACAAGCCACAAATCAGCGGTGTCTTACCGGAGGGACGGACGGACGAACGAACGAACGAACGAACGAACGAACGAACGGTTTTCACAAGGACCGGCTGTGGATGATAAATCGATTGCCGCCGTTTGAGTGGATAACGTCAAAATTGTTAACATTTTTGTTTTTTTTTTCTCCTATAATTTTTATACGAACAGTGCATATGTGGTATCGC